TGTGATAAAACAGTAGAATTTTGTTCTATCTTATTTAGCAAGTCTCCTACAGCTTGAAATATGATGTTTTGGAAATAGCATTTTAGTTATCCTTTTCTGAAATGATACAACCAAACAATTCAAAAGAAATATTGATACAAAACATGACATTAATATTCTTTTTCATTATACACAAATATTAGGAAGTATTATTTAAAACCAGAAGCAAGGCAGCTGGTTAATAGCATAATCGATGTCTATGTTCTATCATTCCAAATGATGTTTTTAATTCATGATGCTTTTTTTCATATTACCACCAGTATGCTTCATGATAATTTTTTATTTTAATTTTTCATTTTCATAGACATGTATTTTGTGATATATGAACTTATTTGAACTTATTTGTGTATTTTGTTTAAAATTTGCAACTAACTGTTAGGCTATCCCCTGAAATTTAATCTTTAAAGGTCTTACTGCATCTTTGCCGGGCATAGCTAGTCATAGATTTAATAGTCTCAACTGACTAAACCCACTCTGAACTAAAAGCCACAATATAGTGAATTCAGCCATGAGTTTTAGGACAGCTTACAAAGAGAACTTTGAAAATAAATAAGTATTGCTCTGAGTCCACAAGTGTACCCTAAAAACTAATGTACTTAAGCCCATCATATCAGCCCCGAAGTTTTCCTGTGTGGTATCTAGATCCCCCCCCAGGAGAGCTCGCCCCGTCTCTTCCTGCACTCCGTGTGGGGCACGCGAGGTGGAGTTTGGCAGCCGCTGCCTCAGTGACTCCCAACAGCCCTAGTGAAGCAGAATGCTTCATGTCTTTTCTGGTTCCTTCTTCCCACTGTCTTGCTGAGATGAGCCCTCGGTGTTTCATCTGAGACTTTTATTCCACTGCGCAGTTGCTTTGTTATTGTATCCATGACTCTGGCTGGTCACGTTGCTTTAGAGCGGGCCGTATTCCTGAAATCCCACTTGAATAAATTCTTCAAGCGTTGAGCAAGGTGAGAAGAGGAGAACGATGCAAGCAGAGATAGCGAGTTCCGTAATCCCAGACCCTGACAGATCCTTCCAATCAGACTGTGTCTTCATGCTGGCAGCGCTAAATACACTCACGGGTGATCTGAACCGCGCCCTTTCTCGCCCCTCCTTTACCTGCTTCCAAATCTGAGGCCATTCAAAGCGAGACCATTGCTCTGCTTATACTGGAGTTTTGTACCGTCAGACCGCATCGATGCTTTCATCAGGTACAGTGCCATCTCCAGTTCCTCTGTGGAAGACGCGGGCGCTGGTAGAGCAGCGCAGCACTCAGCTGGTGAGAGAAGCCAGCCAGGCCTGCCAGGGCATTATTAGTACCAGAACTTCATGGAGTCATCCACTGTTAGTATATTCCTCTGAATTTTCTCAAAGAGAGAGGTTATTTACTGCTGAAAATAGTTTCTGGGTAATCTATAGGTACTTTTGTACTGCTATTCTGAGCTTTTCATGGGTATTGTCCCATGTTTGAACAGACAGGCATGACAGTAGACAAACTTTCTTATAGGCTGTGCACCAAGCAAGAAAGCAAAAACTAAAAAATGTTCTCTACAGATACTTTTAAAGGACACCTTTCTTTTCTGGCTGATATAACCACATGTAAGTATACCCTCTGTTAGGATGTATGAAGGGACCACACATCCTGAAGCACACTGATTACTGGTAGTCTGTCTTTCTAGAAATAAGTGAGCCGATGTGTTCATCTCATCATCTCAGACATGTGTTAGCAAGGCAGCATTGTCACTAAATTATTTTTTTCCTTTATTGCCTATTTTTATTTGGCAAAGGGTTCGTTGCATATCTTAAACATTCTGCTCTACACGACTCACCTGCCTACATCATATCCAGTAAAGAAAGACCTCACATTTATAGCAGCTTTTATTTTTGATTGAAAAATATCAATACAAAAATCAACAGCATATGCGGAGCTGAAACTTTTAGACCATTGTGACTGAATTGAAATGAACATTGTAGTTGCTGCTATACTGATTGAATTATTCCTGTTTATATGCTACTGGAAAAAATCTTGTGTTTCAAGTTGTTTGAAATTGATACAGCGCTTCTCCCAGACTGTCACTGAATTTTTCCAAGATGTTTGCCTTTGCAACAGAAAATACTTAGATTTGGAAAACTGAAATATATGGCAAATGTTAAATGGATTAAAAGCTGGCTCACTGACATTGAAAAATGTGGTGTTAATGGACAGATATAAATGACTGTGATGTGTCTAGCAGGGTCTGCCTGGAATCAGTTCTTGGGTCAATAGCACTTAATGTTTTTATCAACAGTCTAGACAGCGATATAAGACATCTTCAGTAAAGCTTGACCATGAAAAAGATTGCTGAGGTAGTAAATAATATACTAGATAATTGCAGAAGGTAATAAAATATATTTCAATATTGCCAAACAGCAGCCTCTTGTGTGGGATAGTAAACTATATGTAGTTGTAAAGCTGTAATTTAGAGGACAGGTTATCAAAGGTAATGGGGTCTCCTTAAGCTCCCTGTGCAATATTGTGGAAGGAAAAAGAACTAATGCAATAATGTATGTATTAAAGTCAGACTGTCAAGTGGAACGGGGTCATGATTGCCTCTGCATGCTGTACTGATAAGACTGCTTCTAGAGTGAGTGCCAAGTCAAATTTTGGTGTCCAGTCTTAAGGAAAATAAGGAAATAGAACAAAAGACAGACATATGTATGCACGGACCTGGAGATCGGGTTTTAAATCCTATGTCAGGTTTTCAATCTGATGTAGCTTTAAGAAGTTCAGTTTAGTTTATCATTATGCATGGGTACCTGGGCATGATACTGGTAGGTATGGGACGAGGAGCACTTTCAGTATCATTGATAAAGACACAACAAAATTCTGTGACGGGAAAATTAAATTAAGGGGGAAATGCAGCCTTGAATCAACTTGCAATTTGTTAGCTATGAGGATTACTAAATAGTGAAAGAGCTGATGCAGGGAGGTGATAGACTCATCAGTGCTAGACATCTTTAAAAAAACAAAAGGAGGGAAAGACGGAGTGCTCTTGTTAAAAGGTGCACTGTGATCCAGCTGCTGGAGGGGACAGCATGTTGGAGGTGAACAGCCAGTTGGGATAGCAAGCAGGGTGGCTCTGGTTGTTGCTGGGATCTCTTAATTTTATGATTTCCTTTTTACAGTTCAAGTGTTGTGAGGAGAACGGTTGTACATGTTCTGTCCTCAGTCTAAAACATCCATGATTTAAACAGTTGCCTAGAGGAGTCATGAAGTTTACTTCCATTGCTCTACACGGGTCCCGATAATTTGCTTGTTCTTTTCTGTCTTCTGATCGAGAAACCAGTAAAAGCTGAAACTCAGGTCCCAGGAAGGTTGATCCAGTCCCCTGTGCTCTAAAGGGATCCTCTTTCATAGATGGTCCCCGAGTATGCCTCACGCAGTCATCGTGGCAGGGATCACCAGGTTGTAAGGTGGGAAGGGGCTTTGCACTGCCTCGAGGGGTGAACGTGAGTAGTCCATCTGAATTCTTTGGGCTAAGAACTCCTACTTGCCTGAAGCACCGCAAGACTGTGAGACCAGGACGTTTATCCCAAGTCCACCTGGCCTCAGAAGATGAGACTCTTGTCTCATACTCAGAAGATGAGACTCATACTGCTGGGTCCTCGGGTGCCTTGCTGTGTTAGTGGGGCAGGGGGTTCTGGGGAATATTTTTTTTTCCAACTCTGATAGATGGAAAAATTAGAAAAACTTTCAGATGAAGAAGCTTCTTTTCGATCTGAACTAGAAACACAGTCTTTAAACCAAAATATAGGTCGAAAGCAATTGTTCTCGGCCTAATTACATATGTTAATAAGTTACACCGTCTGAGAGAAGAAGTAGCGGACTGAGGAAAATACGAGATAAAAAGGCTGTTATCACCATGGGAAAGAGAGGAGCACGTAATCTGTTGCTTGTTGGGACACGGTGGTATCAGCTGGGGTAGGAGTTATGGAAGAAAGAAGCTGTACTATGGGGTAAAACCATTATTCCTATTGTGTCCATGTTTTTTAATATTTAGTGGAATTATAAACTTCAGTCGTCTTCTTTCCAGAAGGTACCTTCTGCTGAATGTCTCTCTAAGAGGCCAGAGGAAGAGAGATCCTTCAAAAATTGTCCGACTGATGTTTATTTTTTTTTTGTCTTTAATAATTTTCTGATACTTAACGGTTGTTAAACTTCATCCATCTAGCTTACAAAGCACTTGCGTCAGATGAAGCATACTGTGCTCTGGGAAATGGATGGGCAGAACCTACAGATCGGGGCTTGAGAATATTGGCGATTTTGCATTTCTTTCTTAGATATGGTCTGTTCTTTTTGGTGCATATCAGTCTACAGGGAACTTGCTTCTGATGCTAGGTTTAGCATTGCTGGAATTACGGGCACCTCGGGGAGTCAGATTCTGTAATAGGAAACATTTTTTGTTCATCGTCCCCTTGTAATGCATAAGCAATATTCAAAATGGACAGTCGTTCACTTATTCATATGCCACTAGATTTACCAAGGAATTATTTGCTGATTTGTCTTGTACTTGCAGTTTATCAAAATTCCTCCTAATTAAAAGCTTTAACATATTTAGCCACACCTTATTTGGGGCTATTAATTTATAAAGGCTGTGCTTATTCGTGGTACTTACAGTGTCCAGCTTGCTGTTTCTATGGATGTAATAGATCTAATTTGTACTGGTATATTACTGCTTTTAACAGTGTGATACTGTGCTTGCCTAGAAGCAGAAAAACACACTTTCAGTTTGAGATTGAAATGAGAAGTTTATTGATAATCACTGCTATTGGAAATGCTGGGAAAAATATCGCAGGCTTTTTTATTGGTTGTTTTTTTGTCTGTTTTGAGGGTTTATGTTTGGTTTTTGTTTTGGTTTTGGGTTTTTTTTTGTTTTTTTTTTTTGTTGTTGTTTTTTAAGTCGTGGTTAATTTTTATATTCATTATGACCATTTTCTTTCAGGAATATCAGCCTTGTAACACCAACGCCTGTCCAGAGTTAAAAAAGACAACTCCTTGGACACCTTGGACCCCAGTCAATATTTCAGACAACGGCGGCCACTATGAGCAACGGTTCCGATACACCTGCAAAGCACGCTTGCCTGACCCAAATCTGCTAGAGGTGGGAAGGCAGAGGATTGAAATGCGTTACTGTTCCAGCGATGGCACCAGTGGATGCTTGACAGATGGTAAGCAAAGCCGGAGTGGCCGCACGATTGCCTCCTGCTAGCAAGGTGTCTGCAATTCCATTTTCAGCACAGGGTTGGAAGTTTTTGCTTGCTGGTGTTTTGCATAACAGAACTGATAATGAAAAGGAGGACGTAGTGATCACAGCGAGGAGTCGAGCTCGTATTTCTTCTAGACATAGCTTCATCTTTCAGACTAATCAAGTGTCCTTTACCAACAATTACGAGATTTGCCAGGTTATTTTAATATTCTCTACAATAATTTGTAAGCCGTGATGTGGCAGCCCAGATCTTGGAGGATTCTGGCACTTGCTTATGCTCTCTTGGGTTTTTGCTGGGGGTGAGTTTGTTCAACATTAATGTATTTGATAAATATTTAGCTAGAATACGTAGTGCTGGTGCTGAGAACTTTTTGCTCAGTAACTCTAAAGAAACAACTGTAAGATTTGTGCAGGTGTTTAACTAAATAAGGAGTTTGTGAACTGGATAATTTCCATTATAAAAGTTTATGTTATGCTACTGCTAGTAATTTAAAGTTATGTTTATTTCTGAGATGGAAAACTGAACTCCTTCAAAATCTTTTCAACTTTAGATGACTTTAAATTAGAATTATTTTATTTCAGAATTTTTTTCTTTCCCTATCAATATTAAATAGTTTTGAATAAATGTTTTGTGTATATATATAAAAAATAAAACCTAGGGGAACCTCTGACAGTCATTAATACATTTCATTAATTATCTAGTTTTAATTATATATCAGTGTTTCTTTTTAAGTATTATATTTTGGTTACAAAATCTAAGGAAATACTGTTTTTTAATTATTGTATTTTAATATTTATAGACCTGCTTTCCACTTACATAGTCTGTTTTATCTTCACAACATGTAATTAGCTGAAAAAAATGTATAACTGAAGGCATTTGGCTTACCTAAGGCCACAAAGGGAAAAGGGTTTCAGAGTCCTTGGGCTTTCTAATTCTCAATACTTTTTTCAGACAGACCAGCTGTTGTGACAATCAGTGTTAAGCATTTTCTGCCTGTATTGGGTTTACCTGACAAGGTTTTGGTAGCGGGGATGGGGGGAGCTGCAGAGGTGGCTTTTGTGAGAAAATGCTAGAAGCTTCCCCCATGCCCTTCATCCGATGTAAAACCTTCAACAATTCACTTGACATCTATGCGCCTTTGGTAGGGAGAGGATGTTGGTAGTTTTTTAGAGAAATACATAGTAGTGAACTGCATGAAATAGTAAAACAAAACCCGTGGTACTCCAGATAAGACATAGTTCCATACTCTGTGTCATTCCCATTCCAGGTAGTCTGAAGTCTCCAGTGTTTATTTTTCAGGTCTGTATAGCAAGGCAGATTTTGGCATGGAGCAACTCTTGTAACAAGTGTTCCTGCTATTCTCCTGATTTCATCCAAATTAAGTTTCAAACTGGCATTTAGCAAAGATTCTGTTCGGCTAGGATTGGTGTATGACCTACCTTTCTTGTCCTAAATAAGACTCTTGGGTGGCAGTGCTGGGTTTTGATGTCTTCCTGCACTTTGACATTTATGACATCTTTTTAAAACTTCATGCGATTAAATCAGAAAGAGAATATTTTTTTTTTCACCAGATAGCACATAATTAGGAGAGTTATCACAACTAAAAGTAGATCTATGGAATAATTTAGGTTTATTCTTGTCTGACAGCTGAGATGTCAGCACTTAGGAATGCAGTACATGAAAGCCAATGCAGAGAGCAGGTTAGTAGGACAAACTAGTCCAAGAGCCAGCTTGTCCTGGATCACATTGCTGCAAGAAAATGAAGCATGGAAACACCTTTCTCAGCTCTGAAGTCATGATCCTAAGTCCTTGCCTGGAGTTGGATGCATCAGCTGACTCTTTTCTTGCAGAACGCAGTCAGAGGTAACAGTGCCTGCGCTTTGTTGAATAAAGCATTTGGGCAGAGAGCAAGAGGCAAGGCGGCGGGCTCAGGTGCATTCTTTGCCTGATTAACTTGACGATTTTCGTTTCACTTCTGAACATCAGATTCCTGAATTTCCTGGTGTTGTAGCTTACTTGTTGCATCATGCTGAAGATGCTGCTTTTGCTTCATTTGGAAATAATTAATCATTGGGCCAACCTATGGGAGTGACCCTGTTGCGTAGTAATTGAAATGTTCATTTGGGAGAAGGTTTTTTGCTGACTAATCACAAAACTACTGACTATTTAAATATCTTATATTGAGTAGTCGAGAGGGCAGAAACTATTATACAGCTGTCCATTCTTCCTAGTGAGTGCCCTCATAATTTTTTCATTAATTCGTGCTCATTCTTTGACTTTTTTTTTGTCCGTGGAGTCTTTAATTATTCTGTAATGAAAGATCAAACCCAAGCAGTTGTCCAAGTGGTTGCGTTGACTGACATGTTTCTGGTGAAAAGAGTTACTATTACTTCTCCTTCAGCCACATTTTATTTTGAGCCTGTTTTGCTTAGGCATTTTCTGATTATGGCTGTCAGTACAGAGTGGAAGATTTGACAGGGGTGACACTGTGTGATTTGCCGATGGGATGAAACTAACTGACTGCTTCTAAACTGCAGAATTCAGGAGCACTTCTCTGCTCTTAGGTTTGGATTTGGGTCGACTCACAACCCCTCTACTGCTCCTTGATTTCATGGGAAGAAGATATATGAATAAGAGGCATGTAGTGCAGCTGTAGCTTTTGTAACACAGGGATCTCATGAGAATGGGAAACCATGAATTTTGGCGGACACCTTCACAATTTCTGGCTAGATAGTAAGGAAACATCGTAACTTACTTCCACCTGACCAGAGCCTGGATACTGTGAAACATTCTTTTCATTATCTCCATGCTGAACTGCAGCAATTTGCTGGCTTTTATAGAAAGATTAATACTGTTGCAGCATGCTTGGCATACCTCATTACCAAAGATGTGCTCTGCAAAGATCAGTTCTCTGTTCTGTGCAGAAGAGGGCAATTTGTTAGAAATTTTCTCATTGCTTATAGTCTCCCACTGTGCACCTATATTCATGCCATGTTAAGCAGAATCGTGTTTCACTGTCAGACACTAGCAAAGCAAACTTTCTTTGCAGTCTGAGCTTCGAGGTAGAGCTGCTTGACAGAAATCCACTAGACTCCTCCTGAGTGTGGTAAGATATCTATCTTAATCAACCAAGCAATATCATTTGCACACTGTATTCATGCTTTTCTGATTTGAAATTCAGCTAAGAGGAAAGAAAAATTTTGTTCTCTGCCTCTGAGTTTTCATATAGTGCTCAAATAGGAAAGGGACAGCTATTTCAAATAAACAGATTGTGTACACTGCTGCACATCTTAACGCAAATGTCTGTACAGCCCAGCAGTATAGTCTAGAAATTGCATCGCTGTAGGATTTAATGTGTGCTTACGAAACATATTAAATATCTACATTAAACATACTTTCTGAAGGATTATCTGATATATAAGCACTGTGAATTGTGTTGAAAATATAAGTATTTAACCTAGGGGTAAAAATTTCAGAAGGTAGGAGGTTACCTGCTGTTTTAGGTTGAACTTCTCTCACCTAACTCTAGACCCCACTGTAGTCTGCAGAGACAGCTAGCAGCCCTGAGGAATGAGATCCATCTGAAGACAAGCATCTGATATAATGGGCACAAATGGCCCTCTAGAGGTACCACTTTATTTCCAGGGTGTATACAAAGGAAACAGCAATGACGAGCTCAGACGTGACAGTTGAATTTGACATGGCCAAAGTTAGATGAGGTTAGCTCCCAAAATACCCTCAGAAAACAATTAAACAGAGACAGTTCTTCTAATTTCAGTCAAACAGTCTGAAAGAGTCTTTTATTTGCTTTTTATCTTTTTAATTTTTTTTGGGGGGGGGGGGAGGAGGAGGGTGGAGGGGTGAGAAGGGAGAATAAAATCTGAAGAAGAGTCACAAATTCCTTAGAGGAGAAAAAGGCACCTGGAAACCTAAACTTAGATTCCCGGTAGTCACTCTATGCCAAATTTAAAACAATAGTTATTTTTTAAGTCAAGATGTAATTTTGTCTGAAATACTGTTTTAGTGGCCACGATCTCTTGTGAAGAGATTGATTAAATCCTAGTGTTACCCACAGGAAATCTATACTGCGTTCAGAGTTTAGTACAGAATAAAACAGGTTCTGATAGTCAGTAATGTCCTGTAGTCAGGAATACATGTTGAGATATTCTCTCTTACCCTGTCTTACTGAAGCTAAGATATGGTGTTCTGAGATAAGAACAAAATGAATTGTGGAAGTTCGAACTGAATTTGACGACAAATTCAAGTTTGATTGACAAATAACAGCTCTTCAGTGGAACTTTGGGATTAAATATTTAAACACAGAAAAGCTACGTACAAGAAATAAAGATTTTGTAACATAGCAACCTCCACCTGCATACTGTTCGTTTTTTTTCTAAAAACATGTTATCATTTCATTGCATTAATGTTTGCCACTGCATTTTATCATTTAAATTTCACTAAGTAATTTTTGAAGGTTTATGAGGTTTTAATAAGTTATAGGTATATAGGCCTGAAGGTAGATAAGTTTTATGCTTGAATGGTGTTCTCAAATACTTGAAGAATATCTTCAGAAAATGACAACACTGAAACAATCTTTGCTTATCCTTCTTATCTCCTGCACTTTAAACAGTGTTTCATGCTGTCATTTCGAAATTATTCAGGATACTTGAATTTTGGCTCCAGATCATCTTTTCCCAAAATCATGAACCTCGATTGCTTGGATAATTGAATTTTCTTTGTTAGGGCTGAACAGGAAGACATAAGGCATAAATCAGTCAAGTAGTATAATTTATCAGGTGTCACTGCTACTTCTCTCTTATTTAGAGTTGTATTCCTTATCTACAGTCTAGACTAGAGAATTGTTCTAAATATATGTGCTTTATTGGAGCCTTGTTTTTAAGGCAAATTAATTGAACTTGGCTGGTAACGTTGCAATTTCCAAGAAGAATCAGGCCAATCAAAGTCTCCTTACAGGCTTTTGCAAAGGCAAATTTTTTTCTCCTGTAGTGGTCAGGGCAGGTGACTTTAATGTTAAGGTGTCTCCCAACAGGATTAATTTCTATTCCAATTCAACCAAATAGCTTATAAAAGTTATGTAGAAATTATCAAATCATCTTGGTTTCGATCAGAATTATGTAATTTAATTAGACGTTTTTTTTCTGTTACAAGTACTTGCATAAATGGCATAAAGAAGTCAGCAGTGAAGCAGCGCTAATTTCTCTGTAATTTTAGCTATATTGAGCAGAGCATAAGCACTTAAAATGAGAGAATAGTCTTCTGTTTAGATGTCAATTCATATCTTCTGTCTCCCCTTGTCTTTGACGTTTATTGTTATTTTGTCCACAAAATCCCTGTGCTTGCTATTAGTGAAGTTTATGCAGTACTTGCTCTTACTTGTGGAAATTTTTGCTTTAGGGAAGCACAGCTGCCTGTTTAAAATTGTACTGGGATTAAGGAGTTAAACTCCCTTTTCTTGCCTCAGTGTACAGCAGTTTATTAATTGAGTGTGACTTCTATACAACTGAAAATAAGCCTGTTGGTAAATTGCAAGCAGAGTTCGTACATTCTAGTCATTCACAAGGCTTTAAGTCAGTCTTAGGCTTTCTGAGAACGATTTAGTTTAAAACGTTTGAATGATGAACCTGTCATAAAGTCCAGATCTGGATTTGATTCACAGCTGTTCTGTCTGTCTTGGGAAAACTATTCATTAGTTCACTGATGATGCTATGACTGATCAGACTTTTTGCAGATTTCAATACTTTTTCTGGAGATAGGCTGTAAATAAGGAGAGCTTAGGTGTTGTTTCAGCAACTAGACTTTCACTGTTACCAAGCATACCAAGGGCTTTGGAGCTTGCATTCTGCTTTAGCCTGATATTTGCATCTTGGGGACAATAAGCTGAGAAATAGAGAAAGCTTAATGTTGTTTTCTGTTGGGTTGTTTCTGGTTTCTGTTCTCGGAGGTGGATGTGGAGCAATCAGAAAGTGACCCAAATTGCAATCAGAGGTGGCAAGCAAGAAAACCACAGTTTAATGAGAAGAATAGAAGTTTTCATAGTTTCATACCACTTGATCTGAAATATTACAAAGCTTTTATATTTGTACCTTCACCTATCGAATTTGATGTAAACTGTGATACAGATAGGACTCGTTTCTGTATAGCCACTTGCTTTCTGAAGAAGTTTTTCTAGAAGAAATTCTACAATGTAATCTTTTGGCTAGTTTTGCATTACTCCCCCTTGCCCCCCAGACTCCTACTACCTAAATTAATAAGCAGGACTTCTTACTTGAAGGACTCAATGATTCTTATTCTCCATCCATTTTCCATAGCTTAATTAATTACCCCACATCAGTTGGCCAAAGAAAGAAAGGGGTGATTGGACTTTCCATTTGCAACAGAGTCTTTGCATGGACAGTTATAAGAGCTCTGCAGGCATGTAATAATTAGACCATGAATCTTCCTTTTTATATGTATATTTTTATATATATATGTGTGAGTATATTTATAATACATTCATATGTATACGTATGTATTTGTGTGTATGTATGTACATGATTTATTGGATTGTCCTCATGCTGGTATTATGCTAGGCCTCGAGATTCATACTCCATATGGGCTTTTCAAAATACCATGCAAAAGTATCAATATTCTAATATTAAAAACTTGTTAGGGGTGTGCCTTGATTAAATATTAGCTATATAGGATACTGAACAACTCTTGTGTAGAAGAGACTGCATGATCTGTGTTGTAGCACAGTGAAAATGCCTCAGAAGCACAAGGTCCTGAAACCAAAGGGATTTGCTACAGAATGCTGTCTCATTACTTTAATTTTCAGCTATGTCTTCTTTTCTCTTAGGTTTCTTTTCTAGTATTTTATATTGTATCTGCTCCTGTGTTTATAGCCAGTAATTTTGCTTGGGTCACACTTTTTTTTTTTTTTTTTTTGCATTGTCCATAAAGAAGATATTTACAGTTTTTGTGGAAATGCAGAGGCTGCATTGCTGGGATACTTACACAGAGTTTTCTGTCACTGCCAAAGGTGCTCTTTAGTGTTGTGTTCAGAGAGGCAGCTGTTCTGTGGCTTGCCATCTTCTGAAAGAAATAATTTTTCTTATTCCTTTCCTTAATGTATGTGAAAGAGAGGACCACCTGCTTAGTTTCTCTCTCCACATCTTCATAGGCCTAAACTCTTATAATACTCAAGAAAGATCCTCAGAATACTCTGTAGAACAGATTTATAATCCATCTGTTCACGGTGTTCTCCTTTTACAAGAAGTTGCAAGTAACTTCTGAATACCATCAACAAAAGGAGATTTTAGGAAAGTATGAATATGCAAAAATAATAGGAAAATAGTCACGTCTTGAATAATCAGTCAAATCTCCTCCTTAATAGAGGAAATGGACCATGTTTACTTTTCATAAGAGTCCAGGTGAAAGTAAAGCAGGGGAGAGTTCACTGTTTCTACTTTTTTTTTTTTTTTTTTTTTTTTTTTTTTTTTCCATTGTACTTAAATACCACTGAATCGTTTAGGTTGGAAGGGACCTCTTGAGGTCATCTAGTCCAATCCCCCTGCTTGATCAGGGTCACCTACTACTGGTTGCCCAGGACCTTGTAATGCTGAGTTTTGAATATCTCCACAGATGGAAACCACACAACCTGTAAGGGCAACCTGTTCCAGTATTTGACCAGGCTCACAGTAAAAAGGTGTTTTTTTTTGTGTTCAGGTGGAATTTTGTGTGTTTAATTTGTGCCCATTACCTCTTGCCCTGTTGGTGGGTACCACTGCAGAGAGCCTGGATCCCCCTTCTTTGTTCCCCCCCCTCAGGTGTTTATACACACTGATAAGATCCCCCTGAGCCTTCTCTTCTCCAAGTTAAACAGTTCCAGCTCTCTCAGCTTCTTCCCATATGAAAGATGCTCCAGGCCCTTAATCATCCTTTGGCTCTGCCCTGTGTTTGCTTCAGTAATTCCCATATTGCTTCTCTGTACTTGCTCCCTTTTTGGATCTGAATGTATGTCATGCTTCTTGAAATGCTGCTTTTAATATCTGTGCAATAGAATCTGGTTCAGCAGGAAAGAAATAATTGCCCTCTATAATCACTGAAAGGTTTTACCCATTTTTAGTCATTTTTATATTGCTGTACTTCTGTTTTCTTATTAATTTCAACAGTTTCTTATTACAAGTATTTCTGTGCTGCTGCATCGTTATTCCAGTATTGCCAGTTGTTATCAAATGTTGAATAAAAATAGGCAAAGCCTCATCTACTTTGGGATGGCTGTGAATGCACTCCTCAGGGCAGAACTTAAGCAGCATTACTAATACCATAACCACAAGTAGAAATAGGGTGTCACTGTTTCAGTACTGGACACGGTGAATGAGGGGATCTTCTGTTCTGGCTCCCAGAGCGCCGGTGCTGTTCAGCCCAGGGCTCCCGTTGGGCAGTCTCTTCACTGTGTGGCTGGTAGCTGTTTTCAGGGTGGGATTCAGTACACCTTCTGTTTCGTTAGCCCCCCTTTCATAGCCCCGCAGTGCCCGTGCTTGTGGCCAGGGCATAAAACAGTTTCTTAAGAATTAAGTTCGTGCTGCGTTTTAAGAAGCTGCAAACAATCCCCTGCATTTCCCCACTTTTGATGATACCGTTCCTCTGCACTTCTATTAGCAATACTGAAGCTCTAGCGTAGGCAAGCGGCCACATCCTCTGCCCTTGTAAGTGCCGTCGACGGGACTGTCTGTCACCACAACTACCTAAAAAAGTGCTTGTAATAAAAGCAGCAGTTAGCGGTCCATCAGTCATAGAGTTTCCAGTGATGCTAGCACGAGGGGAAGGTGAATGGCTTTGGCAACAGTAGGAAATCCCAGTAGTGTTGTTGGAGATGCTTAGGTGTAACACTGCAGCTCAAGAGTTCAGTGCTGTGCTCAGTACAGCCGAGGGAATCTTCTTCTGTGCAGCACCAAGCCTGAAAGTGACAAAGGTGCCCAAATTAACTGCAGATTATTAGAACTCCACCCAGGGCTACATGCAGGCATATTGGTTTTATCCAAGATTCTGTGTGTTCCCCTTTCACTGATAAATAGTGGATTTCTGTCTCCATTGCTTTTTAATGCCTTTTCTCAGTACTAAATTCACTTAGAAAAGATGTTTTCCAGTTGCCAGACGGTTATTTTAACTAGAAAATATTCTGTCGTGTGTGCCTCCAAAAGGCTGATTTCCATAGCTTATTATTCAACTCAGTGGAAAATAAACTGTTTTGGTTTTTTTTTTTTTTTTAAGTGGCAAAACATCACTCTTCACAAAAGTGCGATCTCAGTAGATTTTGTGGAATTACTGCTGTACGCCATCTAAAGTCTGACTATGGTTAGGATAAGCACAGTGCATTGCTTTCCAGGGCACCCGTGAACCTCGGAGCACAGCGAGCACTAGTGGGGACAGGCTGGGTAGGTCACGAGAGCAGAGCCCTGCAGAAGGACCAGGGGACCTGGCTCTCTGGCTGGTCACAGGCAGCTCAGTCCGGGCTTCTGAGGCAGCTTCTTCCTCTAAAACAGAGGCGATAACACCTAGGTTGTGTATTTGGAGATTTTCTGATGACAATTCCTGTGCAAGAGAAAGATCATTTTTATCATTTTCAGGTGGAGTAAATGGATTTAGTTCAGTCAATGCAGTTGTAAAGTTTTAACTAAAGAGCTGGATCCCAGTCTTCACTGCAGTTCTTTGCAAGTGATTATGAAATTTCTGTTATGGAAGAGATTCTAAAGATGAAAGTAGGGTTTGGATTGTGAGACTAAAGCACAAGACCCTCCCGGTTATATTACTGTCAGGAGCCTAGGAGTAAATTTGAAGACGAAAGGGTTGTTTTGGGGTGAGAGACTGTTTTAATCAGTATTGTTTTTTTCAATCCTTACTTTATTAGGATTGTCAGGGGATTTCTTGCGTTCTGGACGATACTCTGCTCATACCATCAACGGTGCCTGGTCACCCTGGTCTCCATGGTCTCAGTGCAGTCGTGACTGCAGTAGAGGGATACGGAATCGCAAACGGGTCTGCAGCAATCCTGAGCCCAAGTATGGGGGACTTCCCTGCCTCGGCCCATCCCTAGAGTACCAGGAGTGCAACATTCTGCCTTGTCCAGGTAAGAGTCAAATGAAATGAGAGAAGCATGTGAAAATAAAATAACTCATCTTCCAGGCTGTATCCTGTGATAGGTGGCTGGTTTGGTATTTTTTCAGTTGGTGGGTTTGGGGTTTGATTTGGTTTTTGAATAAACTACAGCTCAATTTTACCTTTATAACATAAGTGGATTTGGATAAGATTCCCACGTGATGTCATCAGTTTATCATAACAGTCATTAACAGCTATGTCTTTTTTCACTTGTGAGACTTTGACTGTAGAAATAGAATTTTAATAAGTAAACTTACGAAGACATAAGAAATATGGCAAGACATGAGAAATCTGGCCTAGTCTTTATTTAAACTCAAAATGCCTTTTTCATCACAGTTATCACTAGCATTAAATCCGTGATAGCTTTTGAGTGTAGAGCCTCCAGCAAACAAGGTTCAGGACTGATCACCAAACTAGATGGTAACTTAAGATTGTTCTTGGAATCTTGAGTTTCTCCTTCACTGAAAGTTGTTTTATGATTATATGAAAAGATTACAAGTAGAATATATGCTTTTGATAAACTACTTTGAGTTATAAATCATTATTGTATCTTAGATATTTGGGGGAAAGAGAAATTCATAGTTGGTCACCTCTCACCCTTCATAAAACAGACATCCAAACTCAAAGGCTTTTGAGCTTTGCAGGGGCTTTGTGGAAAAAGAAAAGGGAACGATATAGGAGAACACATGAAAAAAAAGAAAGTGCAATTGGAATAGGAGGAAAGAATTCAAGGTAAGACACAGTAGAGAGGAAGAAGGTTAATGACTGAGAGACTCAGTTCTTTCCAGTATCAGCAGATAAATTTAGAAATAAGCTTTCATACATCTTTAATTGTATACAGTGCTGCATATTTTATTATTGAAGACTTGGAGCTTTTGGCTTTTATTCAAGCATGGACCTGAAGGATTACTATGGCCGCATACACATTGCATATGTATATTGCTATGGGAAAACATACGTGTGTGTGTGTATTTATCTATGTCTATATGTATCTCTATATGTATTACAAGTTAAAACTGTGCTTCCTAAATCATATGGATGGGGGTTTTTAATATGAGTATTTTGTCCAGTCTTTACCAGTGTCAGTGCCTTCCCTAAGCTTTGTAAGCCCTTTGACAGGCACTGTCCATTCTCTGCATCAGAATCGAGGGACTAGATCCGTGCAGAAGACAGCTTGCCCTTCCAGGAGGACACAGTTTCTTGAAAAACGTGTTTCCACCTTGAATTGAACCCAAGTAATATGTTTTGACAGATATCCCAGCAGCTCTGTGAGTGTCCTGGCTGCTCAGTGAACGTGAGCTTCTCTGCAGGTTTGTGGCTAACGGGAACAGTAGGATTGCCTCACAGCTCCAATGCCTTAGGCAGCCCCCGAGGCATTCAGGCCTCCGGCTTACCCGGTGGTGGGGTAGATCCAAAGGGCATTTCTGCTGGGGATCCCTGCTTCAGTCTGGGTGGGCACCTATTGAGCCATCAAGATTGTGACAGAGGCGCTTGGGCACTAAAAGCCATCACTTTTTGGTGAAATTTTCTTACCGCATCCAAGGAAGAAGAAAGTAGCTTTAAGTACTCATTGTGTAGCTTCTCCGTCTGGCAGTGTGAGCATCTGAGGAGACCAAGGGAAGAGATGCTGTGCTTCTCTCTGAGCGTAGAGGCATGGTCAGTGGAGGGAGGCCATGTTTTCTACACCAAGCAGTGTTAGAGAGAGGTGGAAGGGAATCCTCAGGGAACCAACAGTTGGCAGAGAGTTCTGTAATTGTAGCCTAAACCTGCTCCACATTTGCACAGCCCTAGTGCGTGCTCTACTTCCTTAGTTCCCGAACTGCAGTCATAACTCCTTGCCTTTCTTGAATAATAAAATTACAAACAATTCTGTTTCTTGTGGCTGCCCTGTCCCATCGGTGAACAAATTGGAATGTTGGCAGCGATGCATTAGGTCAGAGACTTAGGAGGCCATTGTACTAGCATGTGCAAGCCTTCCCAGGAGCGCACACAGTAGGTAAAGCAAGCTAGAACATAGCACCTCCTCATCCGTTCCTTCTCCCCTTGCAAAGGAAATCCCTTCATGAGACACTGCCTTCAGCTTCCTTTGAAGCAGGTGAGTGGTGTGGTAATAGCTAACAGTTCTGCTCACAACCTTTAAGACATCTGCTTGTGTTATTGTACTGTAGTAACTGACATACATTCATTAAATGGGCCCAGATTATCTGTAAAACAGGGCCAGATTTGTTGTTCATCCCTTACTGTTGATTATTAAATTAAATGCTGTCTTGAATTTTGTTGGTTTTTTAAAAAGTTAAAATAAGTTAAAGGTTTCCAGAAGTGGTATTTTTAAATATCTCCAGGTGGTACGGTTGAATTTTTTGAAGGAAATTGTTCCAACCAGGAAAACACATAGTTATGCAGACATAAGTTTGATGTAGAGGCCCTTGTTGTTTATAAGATAGCCAATACCAAAACTAAAATACATGAAAGGTGTAAGGTAGAACTCGAAATTGTGCTTAATATAAAACTTTTTCCCTCTTCTGCTGTCTCTGAATTTGAAAATATTTTTAAACATCATTTCATATAAAGTGTGGTGGGCCTTTCTGAAGCAAGAAGGGGTGTCCCAATATGTCTAATAACTTTCTTCAGAAACTAGTTTGATTTTTGTTTCTAGTGCAAAGCAAAATTGAATAAAGATGTAGAACTTGAATGAAGTATTTAGATGTATGATAGCCTGCAAGGAATCACAGAGTTCCTCAGCTACAAAACTACTGTTTGCCAGTAATTAAGAAGAAATGTAAGGGACTAAGTCAGATCTCAGATAAATCTGAAGGGAAAACATTGCAAGCAGTAGATGTAATAGATTTCTTTTTTTTTTTTCTTTAAGATGGGAGAGTAAAAAATGATCGCAGAATAAGGCTTATCCCTAAATTAGACCTGATTACAAATTTGTAGAAAGGGAATAAATTTTTATTAGAGAAGCATACTGATGAAATTGAATTCTCTCCATTTCTAATGAAAGTCACATAAGGTGAAATTGGTGGGTAAACACGAACACCTATTAGTTTGGCGTTCATGAGACCTGAAGAAGGGGGAGGCACTGAAGAGCCTTTGCTCCCGGCCAGCGTGTACAGACGCGACGGAGCCCTCCGCAGGGGCAGGGGGAGAGCAGCCAGGGAGAGAATCCGTGTCTGGATCAATTTTCAGCCTTCGTGTTAACCGCTCTGCTGGGGACTGGATTGCGTTGCCTGGGCGCTTAGATTTTGGACAGCTATAGAAAGTCATTCTTACCCTGGCTATCTCAGTGAGTTTTCTAGAACGTTCTTGTTCGGCTTTGATCACACAGCCCTTGCAGATGTTTCTGAGAGAGGTTGGTGTGGGCGCAGATCTCGGTGTGCTATTGACTGTACCCTCCTCACGTGGACTAGCCTGTAGATAGAGTTGCAGGGGCTGAGTAGGAGTAAACACGTCAGGATCTTCTTGCCAGTGTGAGTGTCAAGGAGAAAAACAGGGATTCTGCATGGTTCATCCTTGCCCATGTAAATAAGTGAGGTGCAGACAGAAAGGCTAGGGAATGTGAAGAGACTTTATTCTGACCTTGACCTGACAGTAATGGCCGTAGCACTAGAAATAAAAATGCAACAAAGAAGAATTTGGTGCTTTCTAAGCTATACCTGAGCTCCCTCAGAGTAAGGACAGCCTCACCTGCTCCCTGCTGGCACCAAACCATTTAGTTACAGTCCAGTCCTGTCATCATCATCTCAGAAATATTCTGGTTAGAAGGAAGGGGCGAGATAGCAGCCACAAAGAAGCCCTCCTGCTAATACAGGCTCAGGTTCTACTTTGCTCCCTGTTCTGCTTATCGCAGAAAGGATCAACCCCTGCTGAGAAAGATGAGTGACAGAGAAATACACTGAGCAGTGGTTAAGTCATGCTGAGAGTCAATAGGACTTGATGGTTCTAAATCAGTTAATCTGGGCTCAGTGTCATCCTGGAAGATGCTGAGTGCTTACACTGAAAATGAAAAACACAGTGAAAAAGTCCGTGGAGCAATCACCGAGTGTACAAGGCTCTCTTGTCTGGTTAAGCGTCTTGCAGCATTGTTTTAAATAAATGTATTAATATATTAACAGCCAGTAATTTATGGTTAAATGTGCTGCCGGATCCCAAAACTTTACAAAAATGCTGCAGAAAATCTAGAACCTGCCTTCAGCAGCTACTGTTAAATCTTTCTTGAGCCTGCACGGGAGAGAGAAACTGAATTTTCTTCCCACAGATTATAACAAAGTAAATAGTCCACTGATGTGTGAATTGATAGCAGTCCCTGGGTAGATTACTTTTGGTTTGTAGTATTTGAAGGTTGAATATATAATAGCAAATTGAACAGTGCCAGAGAATTGCCAGAAATTGTACCCAGGCCCAGGAATATGATTTTTCTGTATTGTACAAGTTTTAGAATGATCCCTCATACAATTTTGCCTTCAACTAACTAACAGTGTCCCAAATAATCTGCAAAACCAGCTGGGGAGTCAGCGTGGGGTAAGGTCTGTTCCCAGTACACAGTTTCCATGTGGCCAAACTTCTTTGAGGGACAGGAGAATTTACACTGTTGTCTTGCACTAGCAAATTGTGCTTTGGCCCTCTGCCTCAGCTCCTTTTTTATGGCTCGGAGATGTGGTGAATAGAGTTGGGTTGGCAAGCACTGAACAGCCTGAATAACTATGGAGGGGACCTGTGAATACACACTGACATTGCTGTTTTCTTTGAGTTACTAATACGTGGACAATGTGAAAAGAAAGGAATCTATAATCAGACATAGGGGGGTTTTGTTATCCCTGGGAGCTTGCGAGATATTTACATTATGAAGAGAAATAGATGATGAAGAGAAGCATCGTTTGAATGGTAAATTCTTCAAATCTACAAAAATTACAGGAATTTACTAACAGTTGTCTGCCTGAAAATAACAATAACCAAACACAAGGGATTCTG